CTGAAAAAGATGAAGTTATTCTCCTGATATTTTATAACAGTTATCTTTTTCCCCCATACTCCACCTATTTTCTTGCTTTAAAGGAGCAAGTTTCAATTAATTTCAATTTCAAATCAAAACTGGCTCAAACTACGAGAACAAAAATCTGAAGTTTGTGCCACACAACACCACGCCTGCCTCATTGGGCACAGGACAAAGCCACCAGAAAAGAGCTGTACTTGTGCTCCACACATTATCAGAAGTTTAGGAGGAGTAAGCCTTGAAAGTTAAAACGTCTTTAGTGAGAGGAGCAGGCTTAGAGAGGTAGGATTCATTATGTGAGCCCTGACCATAGCTAAGAAGGTGCATTTCATTTCTGCCTGTGTCCTTGCTCAAAAGCATTGTGGGAAGCTCTATGTTTTCTGTTAGAAAGATAAATGCCAAGCTCTTCAAGACTTTTTCAGGTCAAAACTGAGCATTTGAAGTCCACCCAAAAGCCAGCCAGAAGCTATAAAAGGACTCCAGCACTGCAGAGTCCTAAGCTCTGCACTTGAAAGAGCAACTGATATGAATACCCCCGTTTTACAAAAATACCGCCTTCAAGGGCTCAAAAAGGTGCAAAAGGGCTCTCATTACTCCAACAGTAAGAACAAAAAGAAAAATTGGGAATTTTTAAATGTTTCCTATTTAAACTTCACTGCTTTTGCATTACTCTTCAAAAAATGCTATTTTTCATGCCTTCCCTTCAGGATTTACCAATCTACATACAACTTAATGTCTACTACATGTATGCTTTCCCATAAAGTAAAAAGAGAATGAAACTGAGTTTTCAGGGCACAACTTGGGGGATGTATTTCCTGTATTTTAGCTTATTTAATTTAAAAAAAAAAAAAAACTGCAGCAAAAAAGGATATCTATTTTTTAAGTGGTGAGATAGTATGAGTAGTTGTAAAATATAAGTGTTCAACAACATAAGAGAACATGGTCAGCAAATAATTTCTTGTTCTTGCCATCACAACTTGGCCATACAGGAATCACAAGAGTTACGCAGGTTCACATTTTCTACTTCAAGAGTGAGCTTTCAAACAATTATTTATTTATTAAGAGGGGAAAAAAAAAAATCTCTGCTCACATCTGCAAGTAGAAGTGTGAGAACAGAGACTAAAGCTTCCAATTTTAAATCGCGCATTTTGACTTTCCGCTCTCTAAAATGCTGATCCGCACCCAGGCGCGGCCTCAGCCTCGTTCCACAGAAAAGGGCACGAATACAGTTAATGAATGACATTTTCTATCACATCTCCTTACATACAGCATGCTTAGCCTTGCTTTATGTTTACAGAAGCAAGACTAAAAATGTCTGCCACAAAATTATTTTTAAATACCCATGACTGCCGTAGCTTCCCTGCATAGGTTGGCCCTGAAGCCTTTTCCCACTGCCCTGCGCACACAGAAGACACAAGCCCTAATTATACTAGAAATTAGCAACCGAATCCGACAGCACAGCGCAAGGCTCCCACAGACGGGTTTTGTGAGCACTTTGGGGCCTGCTGCCCTCAGATCAGCCATCACCCGCTTGGGTGTTACATCAAAGGAGGCCTGGTGGCACACCTCTGTCACCTCCTCTCCTAGAGAAAGCCCCTCCAGCAGAGGGAAAGGGAATTTATTTTCTCTACAGAACAAAGGGCCCCCAAAGGTGCGGTTAAAAAAAATTAACCTCCCAATCAGAGAAAACACCTCCTCATTAATGCAGTTCAGGTGTCACGAGTGATTTAAGCACCTGGAAGGGAAGGGAGGTGGGGAGGGGCCAGCCCCAGGTGCCCCCATTTGGGGTGTGATGAGGGGGAATGGCACAGCCCAAGTGACACAGGGCCACGTCAGCGACCAGGCACAGCGCAGGCGGCCTCGCGAGGTGCCAGCTGCTCCTGCCGTGCCACGAGGCAGCACCCAAAGGCGTGCCATGTGCTGCTCGGTGCTGGCCCCAGGGAGGAGAGCCGGGCCAAGGCACGGCTGCCACAAACCGTGCCCCGCGTTCCTCGGCGGAACACGAGTGGCGGGCGGGATGATTGCGATGCCTCCACAGAGTTTTGAATAAAGTGACCTAAACCTTTAAATATTGCAATGGCCTTCCCTCCGTGCAGAGGGGTCCAAATGTAGAATTTCTGCATTCCTTTCACATTCCCTTGAGATTTCCATAGTAAGTCAGAAATCTACGCTGAGCTTATTAAAGACTTTGCACCTCCCCCGAAATAATTCCCCACCCTTCTATCAAGAAAACCTTGACCAGGCCCCTTCTTTCAGCACAGCCCTTGTCTTTAAATACTTCCAGGGGGAGGGGAGGCAGAGCCATACACAGGCCTGCACAGCAGGTAGGGAGGCAATTTTGCAGGCCTGGGTGTGCCCACTCCCAGCGTGGGGATCCAGCAGAGGCTGGAATGCAGCCACCCCAGCCCTCAGTCCCTCTCCACCCATCAGCATCATGGCAGCCCCGGCCTATGGCATCCTGACCTCCTGCGCATGACAGGGAGACGGATGGCCAAGCACTCGGCCTTCCCTCCCACCCTTCCCTGGAAGGACACCCACAAACCACCAGTGGGAGCCATACAGTCTTAAAAAAAAAAAAAATAATAATAATAATAATAGAGGAATTTGTGAGGCAATGAGCTGGAGCTCCCCACAAAGCAGCCTCACAGTGACCAGGGGGCAATACAACAACTCCAACGCACCACAAACCAACTTTTGCTCCTAAGAAACATCACTTGACCCAACTTAATTGTACGCTCACAGGGAGGGACAGGTTTGGTGTGTTCGCCAGTGCTGTGAACAGTGCCACTCCTCTGGCCAGCTCGGAGGCAGAGGAGCACATGAGGCCCCATGGAGGCCCAGCCAGCACCCCCTGCATCAAGAGATACGGGGGCTGCAGGAAGCTACTCTGAAAACACGTTAACAACCAGCCTCACCAAAACGCCAGCTTAGGAAGGCCGTGCTCTCACACATCTCACCACTCTACATACACACCCAGTCAGCAATGTCTGGAGACGCAAAAAAATCCCAACTTTTTGACAACCCCCCTCCCCCCCCTCCTTCCAGTCCCACCCCCAAATGGAAGAGTATCCTACATCTATAAAAGGAGCAGGAAAGGCATTTTTATTACGGGGGCCACTGAACAAATTCTAAATGGGTTTCTATATTTGATTTTGGAAGAGGAGTAGTAGAAACAAAGGGGAAGGAAGTGCAGCTATGAGAAATGCAAGTTAATTTTCTCTTAAATGGCAGCGTAAATCGGAGCTGTGTGTGCTTTAACTAGTGAGGACTTGGGGAGAAACAAGGCGGCTAGGCTGATACAATTGTATCTGCCTTTTTTCTTTTTTTTTTTTTTTTTTTTAAATCCTATTGCTATGCCCATATGTAGGCTGGAGAAGTGCTAAAGTCCAGTGCAGCCCTATTCCCAACCCCAGTGCAGACAGATCCACACTGGTGATAGCTGGGAATTTACAAATACAGGAAGACACCAACAAACGTGAAGAAGGGACTTTTACGCTAATCCACATCTGACAACAGCTCGAAGAGCAGGAAAATACACTGAAGCACATTAAACAGTAATACAAAAAAGTTTGGGGAGAGGAACACAGCAATGTTCAGTTTGCCTCTACCATAAGCAAAATAAATTTGTTTTCAACAACGTGAACAGAATAATTTGTGCAAGCTTAAGATGAATAAGAATGATACGCTCATTTATTATGGAAATTGAGAGGAAGTGATCAGTCCTTACGTGTCCCACGGACTCTTCCTTCTTAAACATAAAAATATTTTCCCTCCACAATAATTTCTTTTTATATACAGAAGACCTGAAATGCAGACTGCTGCAAACCAAAGCCACGTATCTCGCATAACAAATGAAGGAGCGCACATAGTACATTAATTCCCAATTAAAAGAAATACCAAATGCAACCGCAATGATCAGCACACTGTGAAATGCTCCAGAAAGGGTTTTCAGTTGTGCTTTTTTTTTTTTTAATGCCCCTTAAATAGATCAAAAATCCCCCATCTTTCCCAAGCAAAGATTTCCTCCAACACCTAACAGTGATTAAACTTCAATTCCCAAAGCAACCCATTACTACGTCCAAATTCTCCTTTTCCAAACAGCTATTTTCAAATGACCGTGCTTTTAAAATGAATGCTGAAATGGCAGAAGCCCCTCTCCCCCGAAGTTCCACACAGATGTACTTCTCAGATCAAATAATGGAGCTCAGAAACAAGCACGTGCAAAGTTTAGTGCCTTTTGCTGGTATTATCTGGTGCACGCCAGGTTCCCTGCAATCTAGCATTTGTGGCTGAATTGCTATAGGCAGCAGAAAAACACCACCCTGCTGTATCGCGAGTATCGCTTCTGTACACGAGGCCCACTAAATTACTACCCTGAAAAAAATTAAACATGCATTTTGAAATTAAGGACCCATTAATCCAGCCTTTCTTAGGAAGAAGTCATCCTCCTGCTGCTTCACTACACCGACTCGAAGGAGATACAAACCCTCTTGCACACAGATAGTCAAACACAGCTCTGCACCGCGTGCCTATAAAACGCTCTGGACTCCAACATGGCAGGAGCAGAGATGTACACAGCAGCGTATTTACACGACGCGTTCTGCTGCTGGAGCTCATGTGCTCGCTGCTCCACAGCCCCTCACTCCGCAGCTCCTGCTCACACACCGAATTTTCACTCCTTGAGGGAAGTTTAAAATCTTACCAACCTTCCACCATTGCAATGCAATAACCTGATCATTTCACAAAAAGGCCTTTTTCTTTTATTTTCTTTTCTTTTTTTTTTAAATACTACCCTGCTCAATGCAATCCATAGAAATACACGGGGCCATTAGGCACAGAACAAGCTGCGGGTGTAAGAAAGACATTCCTTTATCTGTAAGGATGAGAAACCCAAGCCTATGCAATTTTTCAAATCACTTATCACTAGGGAAACGCAGAGGGAACTAACAATAATAATAATGAGAAAAAAGAGAAATTACCTTTGTCTTTTAGGGACTGAATGCTCAACTTCTATGAGTTTCCCGTGCAGCTCCACTTTACCTGCGAAGAACAGAAGGGAAAATATTGGAGAGCGGCCGTGCGGCTCGCGGCGGCGCGAGGCAGCAAAGCGGAGCGCAACACGTTAGAGCCCATTCATCGGCCGCGGGGCAGCGCGGGGCGGCCCGGGGCGGGAACAAAGCCGTGGCCGCGGGCCGCTGCTCCCGGGGAAGGCGAGAGGGGCTGCGCGGAGCCGCGGGCCTCCAAGCCAGCCCGGGAGCACGCAGGGAAAGCGGCCCTACCGCGGCGGGGCCGCCGTTCGCGGAGGTTCCGCTAAGCAGCTTCACCCGCTGTTTTTATTATTATTGTCATTATTACGTTGTTTGTTGGGGTTTTTTGTTGCTGTTGTTGTTGGCGGTTTTTTGGCGTTGTGCATTTTTGGTTGTTTTTTTTTTTTTGTTTTGTTTTGTTTTTTTTTTTTTTTTTAATTCACAAAAACAGGATGTCGGGGCCGGGAGCAGGAGCGCTGCTGGAGGCGGTGATGGGTGCGTGAGAGCGGCGAAAAGAAACCGAAATAAATACCGGGCGAAGGGAGGGAGGGGGGGGGCGGCGGGGCTCCCATCTCCCGGCTGCGGGGCATTTCGGCGGGCAGCCCGCGGCCTGCGCCGGGCCGAGCCGAGGGGCCACGGAGAGGGAATGGGGGAGGGGGGGCACCGAGGGCCGCCCGCCCCCGCGACGGGCCCCGGGGTGTGGAAAAAGCAGGGGGCCGCGGGCCCGGCCCTCCTCCGCTTCCCCCCTCCCCCCCCCCGGGGGCCGCTGCCGCGCCGGGGGAGTCTCACCTGGGCGCGGGGGGGGGGAACGGGAGCCGTCGGGGGTGGGCGCGGGGCCACTCACCTGAAAGCGCCTCGATGGCCTTCATGGCCCAGCTCTCGTCGGGGCAGTCCACGAAGGCGTAGCCCGTCTTCACCAGGAACTGGCCCGAGAAGGGGATCTTGGAGTCCTTAAAGAGACTTTCCAGGTCGAGCGGGCTGACGTTCTCGCCGAGGTTGCCGATGTAGAGCTTGTTCATCTTCTCGGCGGCGGCTGCAGCCCTCGGCTGGCGGGAGGAGGTGGGGAGAAAACAAAACGCGATGGAGGAAGGAGAGAGAGAGAGGACGGGGAGGATAATCGGCTCCGCAGCTCGCGGCCCTCCCTCCCTCTCTCAAGGGGTAAAAAATAAAACGAAAACGAAGGCGAACGGAGCCCTAAGTGCTTGCCGTGCCACCCGGGCGCATGGGGGGCCGCGGGAACAGCCGGCGCCGGGCCGCGATGGCGGGCTGCAAGAGGAAGAGGAGGAGGGGAGGGAGGGAAAAAAAGTACTTTTTGTCTTTGCCCCCGAGCCCCTCCGGCAGCAGCGGGCGGACTATGGAAATGTCACACTACGTGCGCGCAGGCACCGCCTCTCGCTGCAAAAAAACACACAGAGAGAGGAGGGGAGGGGGAAGGAAGGAGGGAGGGAGTCAGAGAAGGGAAAGAAAAAAAAATTACTTGAATATTCCGGCTTTTTGAATGAGCCACGTGTTCAAACTACAAATCAACTTCTCACGTGAGGAATCCCGGCTCTTCAATTAGCGAGCGACTGGGCCGGAGTGGGGGGTGGGAGGAAGGAGGAGGAGGAGGAGGAGGAGGAGGAGGAGGAGGAGGAGGAGGAGGGTCGGGGTGAAGGCCGAGGGGAGCCGGGCGGGACAGGAGAAGTTGAGAGCGGAGGGCGGGGGAAGGGGAACGCAGAGCCGGGTGGGCGCAAGCCCTGCCCCCGCCTCTGCCCTTCCGCCGGGGGGCCCCAGCCACCCGAAAAGGAGCGAGTGAGAGGGGTGGCGGCCCGAGGAGGGAGGGGAAAAGGCACCGCAGTGCCCGCCCCCCGCCCCGCTCCTCCCCGCCGGGCCGGGCCGGGGGATTGGGCAGCGGTGGCGCGGCGCGGAGAGCCAGAGGCGCCGGGAGGGTCGGGGGGAGGAAGAGGAGGAGGAGGAGAATGAGGATGGGAAGGGGGACGGGGGGGGGGGGGGAGGGGGCCGGGGTGGGTGGGGGGGGGGCTGGGAGGGGGCGGGGGGCTGCGCCGCCCCTCCGGAGCCCCATCTGGTAATGGTTGTGCGATGCGGGCGTTAGGGGAAGGAGGGGAGAAAGGGGGGAAAAATAC